GTAATTGTATAAATAATCATATTAATTAATAATTAAGATATTAAATTTAATTAAATTGTTCGTTAAATTTAATTAAATTGTTCCTTAAAACATTTTTTTCCTTAACTATAATGTGTGATAATTTAAAATTACGTTTAATATGTAACTATATATAAATTAATGATTTTATTAATTAAGAAATTAAATTTTGTTATACTTTATTACGTTGGCACATTATTATAAAACTAATTTTACATGTTGTCACGTCAACATATTTGTCTATGTGGCAAACTCTTTAAACTTCTGAGTTCTGACTTCTATCATATTTTTTCTTTACTTTCTATATATTATATCTCTTTGCATTCTATTTAATCTAACTCGCATTTTTCTATTGTCTAGTTTTTATTTCATCATCATCGTCATCAAATTCCCTAAACTTCTATCTTTTATCATATTTTTCCTTTACTTTCTAATTTGACTTTCATTTCTCTATTGTCTAATTTTTATTTCATTGTCATCAATAAGATACTACTTGTAACAGCCCAATTTTCACTGGGCCAAGAGCCTAATTAAGGTGGTTTAGTAGCCCAGAACGGGCTGTTTCAAAATTGGAACGGGCCGTTCCAAATTACTATATAGACCTACGTTTGGTAGCCCAGAACGGGCCATTCCAGATTTGGAATGGGCCGTTCCCAACTGGAACGGGCCGTTCTAAATTTCAGAAATGGCCTTTAAACCTTATTGAGAACGGTCGTTCTGGTTTCAGAACGGACCGTTCTAAATTATGACCGTTGAGAGTTTTTAATGCAAACCCAGAATGGGCCGTTTTGCTTTGAGAACGGGTCGTTCTAGATGTGAATTTTACTCATGATTTAAGGGTCCAGAACAGGCTGTTCCGGAGACACCTGATGCCTATATATAGAGCATTCTGACACTCGCAAAAGGCACACTTTTCACTTTTCTCTTCTTTTCTTCTTTGTTCTCTTCTTCTCCTTCTACACTCTCTGAAGACCGAGGGACACTCAGAGGAGGAGACCAAGGAGATCTCTATTTTAGTTTCAACTACTGTTTATCCAGGTACGGGAGAAAAGGAGATTATTTATATGTAGAGTTACATGAGGGAATTGGGTAGAGGAAGAGCCCTTAGGATTATGAGTAATTTTATAATTACTTCTGTTTGGAGAATTATTGGTCTTATGTGATTCTGTATGTATTTAGGACTATGAATATATATTTAATTTGTAAGAATGATGATTTAGGACAGAGAACGAAATTGTAGAAAAGTACTTGTGAGCTAGGTTTGAAATAATTGGGAGTTTTACCGTTTATGTTAAAATTATATTAAATTGATAATTCTATTGATTACTTTATTAATTTATGAATGTTATTCTTATATTAAGTGATAAGAATTGATGATCTAGATGTGAATTGCTTGAGGGGTGTGTAAACCCTTATTTTGTTGGACTTATCTGTTGTGTATGTGATATGGAATTGTGTAGGTAATATGGAATTGAGCTATGAGATGAGATGTTGTATGAATATGATTATGATTGTGATTGTGGTTCCTCATACTAATGACCAGGGATGAGACGAACCTTGAGTAGTGATGCTTCAAGGACGAGCGTGCCCTTGGCATGGTGTGGGATGAGTTAGGCAATTAGCACGCATCACTTATGTCAAATATGACAGCCCTTAATGACCAGAGATGAGACGAACCTTGAGTAAGTGATGCTACAAGGACGAGCGTGCCCTTGGCATGGTGTGGGATGAGTGAGGCAATTAACCCGTATCACTTGTGTCAGATATGGCGTGGCCTTGGCATAGTGTTAATTGTAAGATTTGTGTAGATTGTGATGGATTGGTGTAATTGTGAATTGAGATGTAAAGATAAATGATTGATAGAATGATGATATATCTATAGAAATGTTTGTAAATAACATTCTAAGTTATGATGAGATGATGTAACACCCCAGCAACCCGCATTGCTGGGGTGTTACAGATGATGTTGTGGATTTCCTTGTGTGCTTTATATATAAATGTTTTCTTTTCTCATCGTACAATTTGTGGATGTTTTAGGTGAGGAAGATCCAGCTTTGAGTGGCATCTAGAATGTCAACCGTTGAGTTGTGGGTGTGCTATGATATTGTGACATCGGGGCATAAAATTCTAGGATAAATTTTTATATGTATTTAGAGTTATAACTTCTCTTTTGAGAGCAATTTGTAAATTCTCAAGTTTTACTTTCTAAATTTCATTTTTAATTATTTTGGTTATTTATGAAGGTTTTATGTGAACCCTTTTACCAACGTTGAATATTTTATTCTCTAGTTTATTTACAAGATTTATTTATATATGTGTTGGGGGTAGTAAGGGTGTCACACTACTATTTTTTATTTCATCATGATACTACTTTTTTTTTTCTCTCTCTCTCTCTTTTCTCTTTTATCCTTTATATTATATATTTATGTTATATCTAATCTATATTGTCCAATTTTTATTTCATCATCATCATCAAAAAGGTACTATACTATTTTCTGTCTTCCTTTTTTTTCTCCTCTCATTTCTCTACTATCTAATTTTTATTTCATCATGGTACTATTTTTTACTCTCTTCCTTTTTTTCTCCTCTATCTTTTATATTATATATTTATGTTCTATCTAATTTATCTCTTATCCTCTTTGTTTAATTTTCATCTCACATGACAATCTTTGTTAGAAATGAAATATACTGGTGTTTCTTCTTTTTTTTTCTCCTCTACCTTTTATTTAAATATTTACGTTCTGACTAATCTATCTGTCACCCTCTTTGTTTATTTTCATTTCACATGACAATCTTTGTCAAAAATGAAACATACTATTTTTTCTTCCTTTTTTTTTCTCCTCTTATTTCTCTACTATCTAATTTTTATTTCATCATGGTACTACTTTTTTCTTTCTTCCTTTTTTTCTCCTCTATCCTATATATTATACATTTATGTTTTGTCTAATCAATCTCTTCTTTGTTTAATTTTTATTTCACATGACAATCTTTGTCAGAAATGAAATGTACTACCTTTTCTTCTCTCTTTTTTTCTCCTCTACCTTTTATATTAATATTTATGCTCTATCTAATTTATCTGCCATCATCTTTGTTTATTTTTCATTTTAGAAAACAATCTTTGTCAAAAATAAAACGTGCCACTTTTTCTTCCTTTTTTTGTCCTCAACTCTCTATATTACATATTTACATTTTATCTAATTTATTTCTTATCCTCTTTTTTTTTCTCACTATTCTCAATTTATTAGACATTTTATCTATAATATTATTTTTATTATCCTTCTATATATCTTCAAATTGTATTTAATTAATAAATTAATAATTATATAAATAATCATATTAATTAATAATTATGAGATTAAATTTAATAAAATTGTGTGTTATAAAAAATCAAAACATTTTTTTCGTCAAAACTATAATGTGTGATAATTTAAAACTACGGTTAATATGTAATTATATATGAATTAATAATTTTATTCATTAAGAGATTAAATTTTGTTAAATTTTCTGTTACAAAAAAATTAATTTTAATTATAAATAAAAATGAAGCAATATTAATTTATACTAACGTTATATGAAAATATTTAAATTGTTCATTATAAAAGAATAAAACACAAAAAATAAAATAGTTTTTCGTCAAAATTACAATAATTTAAAATTTCGTTTAATATGTAATTATATATGAATTAATGAATTTATTAATTAAGAAATTAATTTTTTTTAAATTTTCAGTTACAAATAAATTAATTTTAATTATTAATAAAAATGAAGTAATATTAATTGATATTAATTGTATATTAAAATATTTTATCATTAATTTACTATTTAAGAAATTTAATTGATTAAATTTTCTGTTTGAAAAAAAATAATTAATATTATAATAATTAATATTGATATTAATATTAATTATAATTTATTATTAAAAAATTTCTATTTCCAAAATCTAATAATTATTATTAATTGACATTTATGCTCATTAATAAGAAAAATAATAAACTTTTATTAATATTAATGTTAAACAACTATAATTTTTTTTTTTTTGACAAACCTCTCGACAATTAGATTGTATAAGAGTTACGTATTTGAAAATAATAAATATATGTATATTATTTATTATCAATTTATTAATTTGATAAAATATTGAAATAGGCTATTTTATAATTTAGTTATAAAAGAATATTTATCTGGATATATTACCTTTAGTTATTGAACCTTTTAAAAGATTATTTACTTGAATCTTATATAAAAAAAAATAAAGGATGAAATATTATATAAATATAAATATAAAAAGTATTTATAATAATATTTTTTCTTTACAAATCCTATTACAAACAATAATAAATTTATTTGTTGTAAAAAATCAATAACAAACTTATATTACATAATTAAAAAATTATATATAAAAGTTATATATTAATTAACAAAATAATATTTTTTTAATTTAAATAATTTCTTTTTTATCCGCACATCGCATGAGTGTATGTCTAGTTATATATAATATCTTGAATTTTTTTTCTTGTCAATTACTGGTACATATATGTATGAGCACGTAACGTGCATTAATCTAGGACAATGATTTTGTAAAATAAAAATTGATGTCAATAGAAGGACACATTTAAGATTAAATTGTATACACTAACATTTTTGAACTGAAACTACACGAACATACAAGCAAATCAATGGTTAAGCATAATGTTTGTCCGTTTATACTTTATATATTTAAAGAATTATGCATAAAGCATTTTTGTTTTTCGTTATTTGGAAAGAAAATGCTTTCATAACACTGGAACACACTGAGATGTTACAATTATAAGTTTAGTCACTGGAAACAAAATAAACTGCTGTTGGAGGAAGCCATTTTCATGTTTGAGAATGTGACTGTTCCTTGGATCTTGAACACCAATTGTGACATTTTCCAAAGTGATCTCAGCACTTCATGACAGAGAGATAATATATGTCCAGGGAGGATAGCTGATCTAGACTAGTGGGGTTAATTTCATCCATTATTTGGTGAATACTTCATTATTCTCTCACCACAATCTGTGAATAATAAAGAATATTTTCTAGTAAAAAAGATTTTAAAAACATTTCTAAACTTATATCCAAACAGATTCTAAGAGAAACTTATCCCTTTCACATGGTAAAGAAGGAAACTACTTGCTTTACTTTCTTTAGCTAAATGAAGAGATTCAACTACTCATATTTGATACAACTTTCTTGCTTTTATCTGCTAGCACCATAAAAGCCTTAACAAGCTCTTCCTTAACCATGAATAGAACAGAAGCTGCAAAAACACTCTGTACTATCTTTGTGCTCATCCCCTTATAAAAGCCAGGTAATCCTTCATAGCGGATCATTTTAAGTACCGCATCAAAAGTACCTGCATTTACAGCTTTAGAAAAGGGAAAGCATACTTTGATAAAGTGGAAGACATACAACATAATTTTTTCTTGCTTGTTTTGATTTTTCAAGATAGTAAGTGAAATATGCAGATTATGAACAAAAGTATTAATTTATAACCATAGTCCTAATGACATCAATATCGTGTTAACAATCATGTCATCAATCATTGATTCAATAAGAATGCTAACAACCCATTAGAGTTGGTCTAGTGGTGGAGGGTTAGAATAACATGCACAAAATTTTAGATTCGAATCTTGGTGTCATCATTAGAATTTTGATAAATTAAAATAAGAGAAATTCTATGGTACCCATCTTATTTGAGAGGGTACTGGTACAGTTTTTAATATTTTATATTTTTAATAATTTATTTAAATAATATTTATAATATTTTTACTTTCAATTTTTAAATTATTTAGTTATTTTATTTTTTATTTTATATATTCTAATTTATTTGCAATAATATTATTATATATTTAAATAATTTAATTTTAATAATTTTTTAAGTTTATTTTTATTTTTTCACTTAAATTTTTTGAATTTCTATATTTTAATTTTAATAATTTTTTAAGTATTTTTTTTTGTCTTTTTGTCATAAATTTTTGAATTTCTATATTGTAATTTTAATAATTTTTTATTTTTACTATTTATTAATTTTTCTTTTTTTTAATATTTTATAATATTATTGAAATCTTATAATTTTAATTTTTATAATTTTATCTTACTTTTTATTTTATAAGTATAATTTAGATTATTCATTTTATAATTAAATTAATTTTTTTAAAATCTTTTATGAGTTTACATAGAAAAATGTATTGGAACCTCTCGATCTTTGAGGGTACCGTAGCAACTCCCTTAAAATAAATAATAAGAATGCTAATCCAACCATAATTTTTCAAAGTACACGTACATCAAAAGAAGTGGAGGAAGTCAACTCTAAGTTGAATAAAAGCTTTCAAAGAAAGCTGATTCATACAGAATGTAGAGAATGATCCAGAGTTTCTGAAGGCATTGCCAATGATTTTTACGATGCAGTTATATTGTGTAATCAAGGAAGTTTTACAGCTGAAAAGAAAATTGTAGGAAGCACATATTATAAAATGCAAAACAAATAGCACAGTTTTTCTCCCCTTTTATTCCTCTCTGATGTACCTAGAATTATAGGCTACTTACAAAAGCAACTAACGAAGTTTAAGTTGCAATGTTTAGTGATTCCATAGCTTTAATGTACAACAACAGAAACTTAATGACAATTGACCACTTCAACCAAATATTGATAAAAATTCGGATAAAACAAGAAAAATATGTTCAAAATGTCCAAAGGCAAATTATGTTATACTACATTTATCTAAAACTAAAAGCAAACCTGAGTATCTTAATGAGCTACTTCCACCAATCTCCTGTTTTGCTTGAAGCCTTGACTGTGTGCAAAGAAACATGAAGTAGTAACTAGTGAGAGTCATCGAGCATATACAAGCGTGTTATGATGCATCTATGTTTAAGACTTGAGACCGTACAGAAAACTGCAAGAGATCGAACTCTATTCTGTTGTCAGACCATTTGCTTGCTGAACAGTAGTTACATACAGATTTCAAGCAAGACTTCAAGAGAGAAAACTATGATAGCATTGCATGGAATGAATGTAAAGCAATCATTCGGGACCAGGATAGTTGAAAATTGAGCATTTTACTTTGAAAAATCATTTAAATACAAAAGTGGACTAATGCTTGATTATTGATGAGATAACGACTTTGAAGTGGTTGAGAAGTATGCCCTATACTAATATGATCACTTGATAAGGTTGTATCTTCTCAATAACTAATAATAAGCGAGGAGAAAATGAAGAAATTATTGGTGAATTTACCTTGACAACTAGTAATGGATATGTTGAGACAGTGGCTCCAAGTTTTGCTATTGCTCCCACCAAAAAGACCTTTTTGAAGGACAGGAGGATGCTTAGTTACTGATATGCACAGCAAGGGACGATATACAAACAAGTGATATGAAACAAATTAAAATGTTCTAACATGCTTTCCACTTAGTTCATATTAAAATGTTCTAAGGACCTATTTGGACAAACTTCTCTTTAAACTGGAAAGCAAAATAAGAAATGAAATAAATTTTTCCATGTGTTAAAACTAACTTATGCATAAGCTATTTTGTAGAAGCTCTTTCCTATTAGCTTCCCTAAATCTTATATTTAGCTCATGTATAAGTAGTTTTAGCTTATGGAGAAGCTTATTTGAATTTTCCTTCCTATTTTTTTCTCCTAGAAGTGTTTTTAGAGAAGATTATCCAAATAGGTTTGACATGCTTTCCTCTTATTTCATATAAAAGTAGTCTATACCTCCAAAGCAGATATACTTGTATCCCCTTGCTTCTTAGCAGCGCGTTTTGCCCTTAGATGCTGTAATGAGCTCTCATAAATCATAAACTGAATTGACGGATTGCATACCTGTAATGAAAATTCCCAGATATATGGAGATTATATAAATATTTACACAGGAACTGAACACATCAAATAAAACAAAAAATGAGTCTGACCATAATAAGGGCAGGGATGACACCCTTCCAAAATCCAACTATACCCGCTTCATTGTATACTTCGTTAGCCTGTAACCCAACCAAAATTTATATTAGCATAAACAAAATTGAAAGTGCTTCTGTAACAGGAAGTATGACAATCTTAGGTATAGTATTATATAAATTTCCGGGACAAGCCTATGAATAAATAATCTACGCTTTTTTTTAAACAATATAACAAATTTAAAATTCAACATGAGATCACGAATGTAATTGAGGGAGGTAACTCGGTCATTTTCTGTTTCTGCCATGAATAATGGATCAAGAAGAATGTGAAACGATAAATCATTTTCCAAAAAGAGGTGGAAATTTCTGGGGAAAATAAACTCAACAGAAGTTCTTCTAGTTTAAATTTGTTGTTTCAACTGTAAATCTAGCGACTAAGAGAAGGGAAAAGAACAAGAAGAAAATCCACACTCAATCTCTGATCAATGTATAGAACGAGCAATAACCGTAGAAGGAAAGTGAAATATAAAGACTGAAGAGACTAACTGCATGTATAGTTCCATATGGACGAGGTTTTATGGAATTCAGTTCAGCCAAATTGTCTTGTAATGTTGAGCCTGCTATGGTGCTTTCAGAAGCTGCCCTCCTTAAATCTTCTTTCTTTTCCTCCATGATTTTCTTTTCTGCTTGAGTATGAGTCTAGAACCAAAATATTAAATGTCACACATAATTGATGTTGTACACAAAACAAGGATACATAGTTTGAGAGTAGTAATAGAGCAATGACCATTGGCTAGTTTTAAGTATTCAAAGTCTATGGATTGTTCCACCTACAAACTCTAAAACTTCAAATAAATAGTCCAATTTAGGAAATATCTGAAAGCACCTGCATCCGAGTAACCAAAACCCATATTGGGTTTGTCAGCAATACATTCAAGGACCTGCAGAATAATATAACTGCAATAAGAATATGAATCAAATAATAGAAGCAGGGTTCACTATCACAAACACAACATAGACAAGAGTAGTATGAAATGAAACATTCAAACAAAAGTGGCATGATGGAGTGTTCACCCAGCAATTGCAGCCACAACAAGCCAACCAAACATCCCAACAGTACCATCTCCATGCCCTTTCACTTTCCGCGCAGCTGCAATGGCCACAGCCTTGTTCTTGAAAACTTGATAGAAATAATAGTAAATGCCCTGATAACATTTAAAATAAGCATTTAGATAACAACCCCACAGAAAAGCACATCACCTATCACATTTTAGGCATGTTTTGATAAACTTTTCATACACTTATATACCAGAAGAAAATAAAAAGAAATGAATAAAAATTTTCTCGTTAAGTTATAATACAACTTATACATAAACTAATTTATAGAAATTCTCTCATTTAGCTTATACAAAAGTTGATTTTAACTAGTGGATAAATTAATTTTAACTTGTAAGATAAACTTAATCCATTTTAACTTGTATTTATTAAAAAAATTATTCAAATAGGGCCTTAAGCCTTGAACTTTGCATCTTTATGACTGGTGAATACTGAATAATGGGCAAAGGCTATTATGGGGTATGGTTAAAAACTGAAACTTGATAACCTGAGAAGCAGCAGTTCCAAGAAGAGAAGGCTTGAGGCCACTATAGAGTCCACCCCAACCCTCACTTCCAATGACCTGACAAAGGGTCACAAATTCAATCAAGACACCATCTAAACAGAACCAACCAAAAGAGAAAAAATTGAGCAAAGTTAGAACCTGAAAGATCTGAAGAAGAGTGCCAGGAGCTTTGGTCGAGTTGGAGGACTGTGGAAGCAAACTTTGCTTGTTCCTTTTGAGTGTTCTCTCAGTTTGCTGGCGCGTGTTTACCTGAAATTGCAATGGAATTGGTTACACGGCCAAAGGAAGAATAAAAGAGATAAAGAGAGTACCGTTTGAAGAGGATAAGTTATGATTTGAGCAATAATTCCACCACCTGCACCAGCCAAACCATTTGCAATTGCGTTTGATTCTGACATGGTTGTTGTTACTCTTCTTCCTTGTTTCTGTGTCTTGAATCTTAACTCATTTGAGCTTCACTTCACACACTTCTTCCAAAGAGAAGATATAAAGAATAGGTAGAAAATGGCAAGACTTTGACTTCACATGGTAAAAGGAAAACTGTTTTTATTGGTAGTTAGTTATATATGGTTATTATTTGTGTTGTTAACAATAACTAGATATATCGTGCCTTGCACGAGAATTAGTGTTTTTATTATTATTATTATTATTATTATTATTATTATTATTATTATTACTATTAGGTTAAAATTCTTATTTGGTCTCTTATAATATTTTTTTGTTTCAATTTAGTCCTACTTTAATTTTTTGTTTCAATTTAGTCCTACTTTAATTTTTTGTTTCAATTTGGTCCCCAATAATTTAAATTATTGCAATTTGGTACTTCCGTCTAAATGATTTAAACGGAGTTAACTGTTGGCCACGTGGATGCCAGGTGGATGTCACATAGATACCACGTAGATGGATGCCAAATTTCTCGAATACACCTGGAACCAGAACGACCCGTTCTGGTTACACTATTGGTATGTAAATTTGGCATATGGAACGGGTCGTTCTGAATTCAGAACGGCCCGTTCTAACACCAGAACGGGCCTTTCTAGTTTCAGAACGGCCCGTTCCAATTGCAAAATTAACACATAACATGTCCATGAAGAACGGTCCGTTCTGGGTTCAGAACGGACCGTTCTGGTTCCAGGTGTATTCATGAAATTTGGCGTCCACCTATGCATCTACGTGGCATCCACCTAGCATCCACGTGGCTAACAGTTAACTCCGTTTAAATCATATCATTTAGACAGAAGTCTCAAATTGCAATAATTTAAATTATTGGGGACCAAATTGAAACAAAAAATTAAAGTGAGACTAAATTGAAACAAAAAAGTATTATAAGGGACCAAATAAGGGTTTTAACCTTTTTCTTCTTCTTCTTCTTATTATTATTATTATAATATTAATAATAATAATAATAATAAAATACATTTTTAATCCTTGTAATTTCGGTTATTTGATCTTTTCATTTTCATATTTTAAAATAGATTATTTTAGTTTTTATATATTTTTTTAATCATTTTTAGTCATTATGTTAAATAAACCTTTTTAATTCCTATAATTACTTTTGTAAACATTATTTGGTCAATTTTGTTAATTTCTTTATAACATTAATTTTTTTAATATTAGCTAATAGATGTTTTCAATTTTTTGTTTTTGATATTAAATCTATTTATAATATAAAAAATAAGTTTTGTATTATTATGTTGACATATCGTTATAAAACTAATCTCACATGATTTACATTAGTGTCTTTGTTTATATATCAATTCTTCCTCATCTCTTTATATTTCTCATGTAATTGTGAGTTGTTATGATCATAATTAATATAATATTTGGTGGTTACAACATCAACCAATGAAGAATTTTATACTTTATTATATTTTTTCCTTCTAAAAGTTTTAAACAATTCATCTTCATTCATTGTCAATGTGTATAAGGAATTTCTACGTTCTATTATATCTCTGTTATACTAAAAGTTCTACATAATTTATCTTCTCTCATTGTTAATTTAAACTTAAAATGAATTCTCCTTTTTCTTAACTATTCAAAATTTTAATCCCCATTTATTGACATACAATTTTCATTATAGAAATCTAAGGTGATATTCACAATTCTTTCTCTTATTTTGTTTTTTTTTTGTATTTTTTTTCCTTTTCTCATGATAATTTTTTTTTCTAATTTAAATGTTCTAAATTTTAATATTAATTTTATATTGTAATTTTCAGTAGAATTTGCAGGTGATATTCACAATTTGAGGTATAACAAGTGACCTAAGAGTATTATTTCACTAATTATAAGATTTTGTTTCTTACCCATATTTTGGAGACCTTTTGTGAAATTTTATTTTCTTCAAAGATTATTGAAGAATGAATGGTGATGAATTGGCGATGCAATTTTGATCAAAAATAGAAGATGAAATTCACAATTCTTTATCTTATTTTATTTATTATAAGTTTATTTTTATCTGTTTGATATTTTAAAAAACTTTTTGTTGTTCTCTCTATCACAAATGTTCTGAATTTTGATTTTTTTTTCTTATGTTCAAATTCTCACTAGAAATTGAAGTTAATATTTACAATTTTCTCTTATTTTTCCTTATTTCACTTTGTTGAAGCTTTCTTAGATCCATGATTTGGAGACCTTTTTAGTAAAGAAATAATATACTTTTATGTTACATTTTTTTGTTTTCCACATTTTTTCTAAAGTTTTGTGAAACTATATTTCTCACTTTATATGATTTTAAATTGTTCAAGGACTATTGGAAAATGATGTTCATTCAAGAAAATTAGTTTTGCGTGTTAATTAAGGAGAACGAAAAACTAGAACAAGATGTATGAAATTTGGGATACATTGAAACAACATATTCATTTTTATTCTTCCATGATGGTTAGTTTTGCTATATTAATGTTAAACTATATGAGTGATATGATGCATCCTTGTTATAATATATTGTTTAAAACCATATAATTGTGTCAAAAATAAAATAATATACAATCAAAATATCTCCAAATCCACCTTCAAATTGAGCCTCAAATTTGTCATATTATTTCTTTTTAATTTACATATGATAATTAACTAGTGGATTTTATTTATATCAAAATAAATATTAAATTATTTAGTAAATCAATATTCAACCATGTAATTAAAAAAAAATTGAATTAAATTTTATTTGACAAATTAAGCACCGTATTTAATAATTTTTATTGAGTTAATTTTGTAATAAATGACATATTAATCAAATTAAATATCTTAATTACAAAGTAATTATTAATATATCACACCCAATCACTTGCAATTGAAAATGAATTGTTAATAGTAAATAATTAAAACAATATTAAACAAATTTTCATATAATTTTTACGTTTCATTATATCATAATTGTCTCAATTAATTGTTGTTAATTAAATATTTATTATAAACTTTAATTTCAAAATAATTATTAAATTTTAAAGTAATAGTTACTTAATACAAATTTTAATATAATTCTTATTTCAATGCATATTTTATAATTATTTAATTTTTTTCTATCTGTACTGCGAAACCGAGCTTCGAGCTCGGCATCACAGCGCAAGATGACCTCGGGCACGCGCTACGCGACGTCAGCTCGACATTTAAGTAGATCATAACTGATCTCAGGGAATCTCGCTCCAGACGAGACCCATTATCTAATTTTATCACATCTCATATCAGGCCTAGAGCCCAAAGCAACCCTAATTCACACCAAGGTACGTGCATTACTTATACGAGACTCATACTCATACAAACCCTAACTTTAGCATCAGAGTCTCTTTTGCAGGTACTACCCCCATCTTGGAGCATCAAGCGTACCAGCGAAGGAGGCTCACCAATCTTACTCGGAGGATCATCTCTACAGCAGATTTCCGGTAAGAACATTTGGCGCCCACCGTGGGGCCGCTCAAGACAGCTCTTATCGACCACGCTTATGGTATTCACCAGAAGCCATAGTAGACGCGCAACAGACGACGCAAATCACTCAACTACCATGGATAGCGAAGCAGCATTAAGGAGACTAATCGACCAGGTCGAACAGATGCGGCAACAACACGTCGCCGACCTACAAAGCATGCGTGCCAAACACGACACTGACCTAGCGGCAATGCGTACCGCTAATGAAGCTGACCTGGCGACGCTACGCGCCGAGAACGAGCGAATCCGCGCTCAACTCCCTCGGCACCACTCCGATCATCCTCCTCATACGAGCAACCACAATGAGGAGGAGGAGCACTCAGTCTCTCAACCCCGAACCACGACTAGGGCACCGACTCAACGACCTGCCACGCATCGGTCCCATGCACCACACACAAGTCGGCCCATGAAGTCAGCAAGGCCCCTACTCATATCCCAGGGGATCAGGCAACTTTCCGCCGCCACCCTTTTGTGGATGGCATCATGGAGACACCACTCCCTCATGGGTGGAAGCCTCTCCACCTCGATCGCTATGATGGCACGACGGACCCAGATGAGCACATTGACCTGTATACGACGCAGGTAAACCTCTACACTAACAGTGACGCTATCTTGTGTAGGGTTTTTCCAACCTCGCTCAAGGGAGCCGCGCTCAACTGGTATACCCAGCTGCCCGCCGAGTCCATTGATAGTTTCGGCACCCTAGTCAGAAGGTTCACAGTGCAGTATGCGACGAGCCGACCTCACCATGTCACTTCAGCCGCCCTGGCCAGTCTCAGGCAAAATGACGAGGAACCACTCCGGGCGTTCATGGAGCGATTTGTCGCCACCTCGGTTAAGATCAGAAATCTGAACCCCGAGGTCGCCCTGCATGCCATGCTTATGGCACTCAAGCCCGGACCATTCGTCGATAGCCTATGCGACATGGACGAGCTTCGCGCTCGCGCGGCGGGCTACATCCAGATGGAGGAACACTCTGCTTTCCGTGACCAGGTTCGCGAAAAAGGACCAGCGAAGCTGGAATAGGGACACAAGGATAAAATCAGAGTCAATAACGACAGCCAGTTCAAGAAGTCGACTAGGGCAAACAGAGGGGGGATATATGACTTTTACACTCCCCTAAACGCACCCAGAGTCCACATCCTGGAGGAAGCCAGCAACAACAACCTACTCACCCTTCCACCACCAGGTCACACTCCCAACAGTGCTGACAAGTCCAAACACTGTCGGTACCACAGGAACCACGGTCACACCACAGAGGAGTACCGCACACATGGATAGTATGCCATAAGGCGGAACGCCTATCTTCAACTGATAAAAATGAAGAAAAACGGGAAGAGACACCTCTATCCCTAACACTGAACAGATGACTTGAAAAGCCCTCATAAAACCCCAACTATTGGGGTGCAACTGGCAGGGGGCCGAGTTGACAAAATTCAAAAAATCACACTCAAATTGGGTGAAGGGAAGGCAGACACTTAAATCCCTAAAAAAACAATGGTACATATAGAAATAGGAAGATTCAGTGGACTTCCCCATATACACGCCCTCTCCGGCCTGACACGGTTCAAGACGGATCACTCGGGACACAGAAGGGTCACAGATTCTG